ACTGTGCAGGGAGAAGTCACAGTTTCTCCTTCTACTGCCTCTAAGAAGGATATGGATTTTTAACAAGTTGTTTCTCTAACATAGCCTTTAAGCTTACAAATTTTGGAGGCATGCCAGACTGCTTTGAGAATTTAAACTTGGGAAATAATGGTTGTTTTAAGGAATTTAAGCCAGGCACTATTATTAACATAAATAATACTTTTATTTTGGTAATTATTATTAGGTTTCCTAAGAGGCACTTCTGTGGGTAGAGCATTAAAAGATGCAAGGGTATCTTACATTTATGATGGTTACTCCATTGTACTGTTATACTGGCAAAAGAGGTAAAATGAAATAAAACCAAAGTTCCACTGAAATGAAAACTTCCAGTCAATTCAGAGTAGATTTCTCTAAGGAACATCTCCAATTCCACAAGCAATTAGGAGTCTAAACCTCTTATTACAGCTGACGTGTTTTTCTTCTATAAAACCATCTGCAGCTACACATATCTATTATCTAAGTTTCTCCAGGCCTCTATGATTTTAACTGCACACATCTTTACAATAAATATTTTAATTCCAAACAGGCTGTAGGAATTGAACGACTGTCAGTAGCAAAACCACAGGTCCAAAATCCTACCCTCGATTCTGCAACTATTGCAAGGATCACATCCCATGTGTCTGTGCCACATGATGTAAACTTTCCAGAAGTAAATGTTGCAAAATGCTGATTTGTAAAGGCTGCTGTGTAACCATAGGTGCATTGTCAGATAACACTACGTGGCCCTGTGAGAATGTTCCGAAGGTTAAAAAAACCTGCAGAGCCCATTTTAAACTTGCAAATAACTTTACCACAGAAGTACTGGGAAATATTTTAAATTCAATCACTGATCAGCTCCTTGATTTTTTCATTAATTTTCAGGCTTGTCAACAAATCTGTCTGAAACTCTGGAACTCAATTCAATCCTATTCAGATGAAGAGGGATGTGCCACTTAAGGTCTCTTTGGGAGAGACAAATCCATACTACCAGTCTCATCATCAAATTTTCACTCTATACAATGCAAAACAACAGGTAATGAAAAACAGAAAAACCACAGTTATCAACAGGTAGTTTCGATAATTCCATAGCAGATGTTATATATATAGCATCTGGGATATGCTGAAACAATTGAAGTCCTTAAAGCCAGTTTGGACTTTTATAAGTGTTTATTATCTGAAAAATCCAAAGGTAAAGACCAACACCAAGAGTATAACATAAATGTTAGCTTATAAGTGATGCTGTCTAATATGTTTTCAATTCCTTACCCCTCCCTAAATTATGCATTGCAGCTACATTCATAAGCATTTCCTGACTGGCTTGAAGTGAAGTTTGGCGCAATTCACCATCTGTAGCTCGGCTGAGACTCATGAAATGTTTCATGGTTGTGCTTCCAGTAATTTCACCATTTTTGCATCCTGCCACCTATTCCTGCTCAAAGCAGTTGCCTGTCAGGGTAATCAAGATGTTTTCATGGAATCACTGGCATGTCATCTCTGCTAGTCATTTACTGGTAAGATTTTTCTTATTATTCAGGTGGGAGATATTTGGGCTTTTATTCTCCTAGACCAAAGCATTAAGGTATTCCTTTTTCTCTTTTGTCCTTTTTCCCCTCTGTGATTTTAATTTACTAATTAAAGCTCAGATGTTTGCTGCACTCCCTTCAAATGTTCGAAAAAATTTCCCATCACCTAAAGAGTATCAAAACCCTAAGCAATATTGCTCCTAGAAACCAACAGATTTCAGGATGCATAGCCTTACCAGTGTAGGTAAATGGGTTGTGTTTCTGAATCCTCCTGTTGTTTGAAATAAAGACATCCATCAAAATGTAACCCAGAGGCAAATTAATGGAATAAAAGGTCCCTATGGAAGTTGTAAATCTTCAGGGATTAGATTTCTTAGCCTACTGAAACCCTCTGGATCAGCAAAAGGACCACAGCTGGTACACTTGTTGGATGAACAATTGCAAAGATTAGTAAGAACTTTACAAATGGAGTAAAGAGTAACAAAACATCAATGAAGTCTAACCAAAATAATTTTCTCAGTTAGCCCTTTATTAAAGAATCAAAACCCAAGTTAATTTTAAAAATGTGAAGAATTTAACCTACGTTAAAACTTGAAAAGAGAATAGTACTGCAAATATAGAAGGATAACCTTCCAAGATACAAGAAAGGAAAATATGGGTTAAAAAAAAATTAAAAGCCAGAAATTGACATCAGGTGAGTAAAAACCAAAGATACCAGTAAAAGTGGAAAGGAACTGAAAAGATTTACATCTGTTTTCAACACTGTAAAAGAAACCTTTGGAGTTTGCACCCTTGTAGAACACAAAGTCTCAGAAACAAATCTAGGAGGCCTTTGACCAAACCCACTGTGAAGTACATTCAAATTAAAAAAGTTAAAACGTACCCAAGTACTACTCATCGTATTAGGCAAACATCTAAAATGCAAAATTTGGCTCTGCAAGTCGGGCAAGGCACTTGGCTCGACAGCCAGGTCTCTGGGTGCTGCTGATCCTGTCGGCTGGCAAACCACTTGCCCATGCAGGTGAGGCACCACATGGGGCGGCAGTAGCACTGCTGGCACTCCCCTTCGTTTGGCTCCTGGCAGTTCTTGATGAGCTTGATGTTAGCGATAGTCTGCATACACCCTATGCACGGCTCCAGCTCCTGAAGGAGGAGAGAAACACCCAAATCGTGAGCTGCACGGAATGGTTGCTGTGATCGCTCTTCAAAGGCTTTTAGAAAATTATCTGTGGCAGAATAATCAAGGCAGAACTGCCCCAACCGGAAGATATCGAACGGTTTTATTACAGCACTTTCTAATGAATGAACAGCAAAGTTTCTCTTTAAACAGAAAACACAGAACTGCTGTGTGAGAATAGTGACTACACAAAAATTACTAAAAATAAACATTCTTTCTGTCTCCAAGGAGCTCCTCCTATTTCCAGAGCACAGCAGCCACTGGAAGGTAAGCACACAGCCAGCTTTATCATTCAAACAAGATATTTTTCAAAAAAGATACCAGTATAACCAAATGAAAATGAAATGAAAACAAAAAAGCTAACAGTTCTTACCACTTGCTACAGCAAATGGCTGTTCCTATGTTCCATCTTTAAAAGTAAGATAGATAAAAGGGGAAACCGGGCCTGTACTGAACACAAGGACACTAATCTTGAAGGACCTGAAAATTACTTCAGTTTTCTTGAGTAAGACTTTAATATTTCCCCACAGTTAATTATGCCTCATGAACTTGCGGCTGCATATAGGGACATCATCTTGCTATTAAGTTTTTTACAATTAATAAACAATAATTAGCATTTCCCCTGTGTCTTCCAGCTGTCCAAGAACTTGACAAAGTTCTAATGACAGCACAGAGACCTGAATCCTGTTCATACTGCTACTGGTGTAACAAAAAGCAGCTCTGCTCTGTGGTCTTTAGTTCCCCACTCCAGAGTCTCTCCTCTGTCACCTCAAGTGCCTGCTCAGCCACACTGGCAGTTTTGCTGTGGAGCAGATCCAGATGAGCACAAACCAACTTGCTTTGCCTCTTTCCACCCTGGTAAGTTTCCCACAACCAGGTTCACCACAGACAAAGTCTTTTGTCAACACTGGGGACCATAGACAAAATCTTGTGTCAACATGAGGACCAGGAGTGTGCAGGAAGCAGGACTGCTTCTTTCAGAAGCTGCATCAGCTTTAACTTGTGAAATTAGGGCTTATCTTAGTTTTTAGGCACGAAAAGCTCTGGCATAGAAAGATTAACTAACTTTTCCAACTTATTCATGGAGCTTCATAACAGGAAAAAATTCAGTGTTGTATTTTTTATGTCCTTATCATAATTTGTGATGACATTTATCACTCAGTGTCAAACCAAAGATCAGTAGCTCAGCTGACACTTAAGTGTGTCACAAATTAATTAATTTTAATTAAAATGAAAAATTATCAAGTTCTATCTTCTCTTTATTTTGAACATCTCGTTTCACTATAAGCTGGCATTGCAACCAGGATGTTCAACAACATCATGTGCAGGCAAATCTGATCCAGTTTTATTTTAGCTTGCTCATGGAAGCATACAGTGAACACACCATGACACTACCACAGATACCAATTACTCCCTGCATTAGCTGAAACATCAGACACAGACTCCCTGCAGGGTCACCAGAACTGGTTTCATTAGTTTCCTCTGGTACACTGGACAGTGGTATAGTCACACTTGTGACCGCAGCACAAGTGTAATAATGACCAGGTCTCTGTGAGTATTACTGCAGGTAGGACTCTGTGGTGTTATTTACAACTAAAGCAAGCCCTAATTAAGATTCATTTGTTTATTTTAGCAGAAGAACCAGCAAAACCTGGCTGTCTAGAAAAGCAAGCTGTAATGGAGCAAACTGCCTAAAGAACACCAACAACAGCTGTGACTTCCCATAAGCTTTCTGGAAGCGCAATATCATCGTTTACAAATGTATTCATGTAATATTTTTATGGGAATTATTACAGGGGACTTTATTTCACTGTGTTATTTCTCATGTCTCAAAGCTGCTAACAATACAGTTCATCTCCTTGTAGAAGGAACAGAAGCAGCAGCCAGAAGTACATTTATGACGTGTTTACTGAGATGGCAGGTGAGCCCTTGTGAGGGATGCACCCACCCCGACCGAGTAAACAGCACTTTGGCTCTGGCATCACCCACAAGGAGGCCTGACTGGAGTCAGTGTGGCTGTGCAGACTGGAAAGAGTTGTGCTAGGCTGTATCTTTTCAGGAAGTTAAGGCATCTAGGCCATGTCTTATCAGGAGGTAAGTAGATGACATGGTAAGTCCTACACCCGCCTACCCACACCAAGGGGCAGTTTGACCACCAGTCACTCCCTCCAAGTAAGTGACTGCGCTCCCCAAGCCCGTGCAGCTCTCCTGTAGGGCAGCAGGCTGTCTCAGGTAGGGAGGACAAGATTACCTCTCAAGGCTGAGAAATCCCTTACCCTCTAACTATTATCCATAGCCAGGTAAGCGACTGTTTTTATTAGATCCAAAGCATATTGTGTACAATTATTAGAAGTAGCCATTAGTAGTGTTTGACTGCTGTTAAATACCATTTAATTACTCATTGATTACTGTTTAATTACCATGTGATTACTGCTTAATAATCCTCAATTATTAATTATAATTTAATCATCATTCATAGTTTAATTCATATTTTTAATAAAAACATTTTGTTAACCTCACAACAATGAATTCTCTTAGTAATTCACCTGAGACAGCCCTAAGTAAACATTTACCATTACACAGTAATCACAGGCTCACCTACATTGAAAGTATAATTATTACAGTGTCACATGGATAGAAAGTCTCACCTGAGTGCTTGGAACGTGATATGGCTGGTTAATTTCTACCAGAGATGTAAAGGTTTCTAAAAATAAATCACTAAGGCTTTGATGGATCACAACATTAGCTGCATTGCTGATAGGAGCACGGAGCTTTTCTCGGAGCTCCCCGTACTCTGTGGAGTTCAACCTGAAGAAGAAAAGATGGAAGAAAACATCACCACGATTATCCACTCCAATACCTTGATAGTACATTGCAGAGGCTGACATTAGAGGAGTGAATCCACAGAAAAGCTGTTTAGGCTGGTTCATGAGTCAGAATAAATAAATGGTGAGCATTTTATTTTCTTTTGTCGTTTAGTGATTGGTTTTGACACAACTTAGCCAACAGAACACACTGTCCTACTTCATATCCTTGTCAGACTGCCAGCAGGATGTGCTGGATATCAGCTAAAGCATCACACAAAATAAAATAAGGCTTTTGAAGTGATCAGCATGAACAAAAGCAATACAGGTACACAAATCATGCATTAACTATAAAGTACTGCATGCACAATTCCTGCCCATCTTATAAATGACAATTTACTTGGATCATATATAAATTCTTGTTTATAAACTCCTGAGGACAGAAATTAGTTATATCCTGTAGCACATAGCATAAAGTGATATAGTACACATAAGTAGCAGAAGAATGTCAATTTATCGGGCTCCGTGATTTTATGATCCAATTTTAAACAAACCCAGAAATTTCACAAAGGTTACAAACTGCTGCTGATTGAAGGCTTTAACAGGATGGATTTCACACCAGCTGCTTCTGCTCAAGTAAATGTAAGTGATTCTATGATTCTATGATTCTATGATTCTATGATGTTCACAGACCCCGAGTGGCACTTGAGGCCTCCTACAGATCCTGCAGTGACACATCCCTATTGTTACCCCTTTTAACTGTAACAGCTCAGAACTGTAGCAGCAGAACTCCCCAGCTCAGTCAGTGCTTCCACTCATTAAACAGCTTTCATGGAGCAGTCCCAGGAACGCTGCCCTCCTTCTTCCTACCACTGAGTTACCAGAGCACAGCACAATGCAACGCTGCTCAGCTTTAGCTCCCAGTGACCTCCATTGTTTTAACTACTAAAGGATACTTAACAGATTATTTATCTGTTTGTTAACAGACACTACCCGTGCAAATAACAGAGATCTTTCTATCCAGAGGAAAAATTCACACTGAACATGCAGGGAAATGTGGCCCACCAGCACAAAAACATTTTTGTCCAAGAAACATCCCAGTCTATCTGATTCTGGATATTTACTATGATCCTACATGATTTTGCTAAATTCTAGCAGAGATTTAGTATTTCTGACATCTTATCAGATGAGCTTTTAAACACTGTTCTTGATGCTGTGCTGTTTGGCCACAAAATAAAGTTGGGGGGAGTTGGAATTTTTTTTCCCCTAAAAGGAGTTGTCAAAGAAGTCATGATTTTCTCAGCTGGAGATGTAGTTTTATCACTCTGGCACTGACACACTCACAGAGGAAAATCATTAATTTTATCACTCTGACACTGACACACTTACAGAAGTAAATCATTAATTGCTTAATATTAATTTGGTCACCACTCTCACAGGTCTATAAATGTCTCTTAGGATTGTCACTCTCACCTTAACCTCTTGTTCTGAGCTCTGTTCACCTGATCTCTAACAGAATCACCTCTTGTGCCTTCGTCATGCTTGCCCTACAGCACACCTACAAGTCTGGCATCTGCCTGCTTTTAATTACTTAGTAAATAAATGCTGCTGACATACACATTTACAGCAAAAAGACACTCCCATGCCTTTTCAAATATATAGTTTTAGGAGCCATAACATGGGTTTGAATACTCCTCTCAATGACACAACAAAAACAAAGACTTTGGCACCCTTCTACTCAGTGTTAGATGTTTCTGCAGACCTTGTACTTTCGCCCAGCTACACAGACAGACTGTTGCAAACACGCAGCATGGGCCCTTGCAAAACAAGCCCTAACTGTTCACGTGTGCTAAGACTGACTGCTATAAGAACACATAAATCAGAAACAGGCCAAAATTACTTCCTTGCTTTAAGGGCAGTTGTTTTATGGCAGCTCAGTGAGAACTCTTCTGAGCAGTGACAGAATTATGAGCCTTAAGCAGAAGGAAAAAAACAAAGTCGTGGGTGAACAACAGCCAGTTTTGGACAAATAACTATTTCTCGTCACTCAAAATTTGGAAGACAAAAGATTGTCCTTTTCATTCCCGTTCTCCATCTTTGACCTAAATTTGTCCAGTTCTTCTCCAACACAATCCTCTCCCTAAGAATGGATCACCCACTGTGCATTCAATACTGCAGGTGCGTGAATCTTTCTAAACAACCCTTCTTCATTGCACTGGGTGGCAGAACTGCACACACAGCATCTCTGAACACTAGGCAGGGAGCAAAAGGGAAGGGACAAGATCTGGGAGTCTTCAGATCGGACACAGAAGCACTCCATCAGCACCATCAAACAGCCTATTATGTATCAAACCAGGGTTAACACAGTTGTTTTACCGGATATCAAACGCCTTCACGTAGGGATTGATACTGGAAACTCGGATGGTGAGGAACTGCACAGGCACGTTTGAGTCTGGGGTGAGTTCATGCTGTCTGGAGTCTGTCACCGTCAAATGAATGTCCTGCTGCTGGGCCACGTGTAAACAGTAGGTGGTCACTTTAATCACCCATGTGTCTGTAACGATCACCCTTGCTCCTGGGGCTCCAGTGGCAAATTTGTCAATTCTCCTGAATTCTGTATTGATGGAGGAGGCTACTGCCCTCCAACCTGACTGCGGGAGAGCATGGACAGCGAGTGTTCGGGCTAACGGGTGATTATTCCAACCCTTCCGTGACCAGTAGTACGCCAGGGCACTGGTGACTGCTGGAAGGAGAACTGCGAAGAAGAAGAAAGTTTTCCATTCTTTTGAAGCCAGGTAGAAAAAGCAAAGATGTTTTTCAGGTGCAGCAAAGCACATGCCAAGGTAATAACCTGCAAGGGAAAAAAAAACAAATTTGCTTTCAGAAACCAGTCAAGTACACACATAAACATGTACCCCTAAACCATAAGGTATCTAATCAGGGAGCTCACCTCCAGGAGAGATACTGCGCTTCCAGATGACTTCAAATTTAAGCCCCTTGTCTCAAGCAATCTGAGGTAAATGCTTTCACATCACTGATTTTTACCAGTATTGCATAGCTAAATGAAGCTGATTTTAATTCAACAAATTCAATTACTTGTAGGATGCCAATTTTACCAGATTTATATAGCTAAAGGAAGGCGATTTGAATTTGTTGGTTGAATGAAATTACCTGCGAGATGCCACTTTTGTCAGAATTATATACCCAAAGGAAGGCAAGTTGAATTTGCTGGTTGAATAAAATTACCTATGAGATGCCACTTTTACCAGAATGATATACCTGAAGGAAGGTGATCTGAAACTGTTGATAAAATTACCTGTGAGATAATACTTTTACCAGAATGACATATCTGATATATCTAAGATATATCTAAAGGAAAGTGATATATCTAAAGGAAAGTGATATGGATTTGAATAAAATAACCTGCGAGATGCCACTTTTGCCGGAATTATATGGAAGCATATGCCTAAAGGAAGATGACTTGCATCTGTTGGCTGAATAAAACTACCCCTGAGACGCCAGAATGACATCCTTTAAAGAAGATGCTTTGAATCTGTTGAACGGCACTACCTGCACAAGGCGCCACCTAGTTTTCCGCAGACCTACAAGGCTAAAGGACGCCCAAGCTGAACTCCCCGGTCAGCCGAAACGCAACCCCTGGGTGCGCTGCGTGTGCTCGGGGTGCAGGGCCGGGGTGTGCAGGGGGCAGGACTCACCCAGGGGCAGCAGGGAGTGTGCCAGCAGCGTGCCGGTGCTGCGCCGCAGGTGGTACTGCACGAAGGCCGCGTCCTCGCTGCCCAGCCAGGCCGAGAGCAGGCTCTGCACCGTCAGCCCCGCCGAGCGCACCTCGTCGGGCGGGAACACGAAGCACACGGAGAACACCACGTAGGCCAGGGTGAAGGTCACCGCGGGGCTCTCCATGCTGCGCCCCTCTCCGGGCACGGCGGGCCCCGGGAGATCCCGCCGCGCCCCCGGGGTGCTCCAGGGGGGAGCGGTAACTCCCACCGCTCCAGCGGCACTTCCCGCCGCAGCCCCGGATGCCGGGGCGGGGACCGGCACTGCGAAGGGAGGCGGGTCCCGTCCCTCCATCCGGCGGGTCCCTCCCTCCATCGGCTGGCTGCTTCCATCCATCCGTCCCCGCCCCTCCATCCCTCCGCGCCTGCCGGGTCACGGGATCTGGGCATCGGGATGCGGACATCGCGATCCGGGCATCGCCCTCATCCCGCGCCTGCTCAGCCTGGGCGGGACACCCAGCCTCTCCCCGGGGCCTTCAGGCTTTGTACGAGGTCATGCTCCACGGGCCTGGCAGAAGGGACCGATTCCTATTCCTTACAAACGTGAAAGAGCCCTCTTGTTGGATGATGGCAGTGTCCCTCCGGAGCAGGGAAATGGACTGCTTTGCTTAAGGGTCCGAAAAAACTTCGTTTTTCTTTGTCTATTTCATGTCACATCTTCTAATATTTTTTCTAACATATTCGAATATTTTATCATATTTTCTAACATTTTCTAATATTTTTCTAATATTTTCTAATGTTTTCTGATATTTTATTTTTCTATTTTCTAATATTTTAATATTTTCTAATGTTTTTCTAATAATTTTTTTAAAAAAATGCGCTTTAATATTTTCTAATATTTCAAGTGATAAAGGTCACAAGACAGGCATGGAAGATCTTAAAACAGCCTTAAAGGGAGACAAATTTTAATATATCTTTGTACATCCCCCCCCCCCACCAAACAGTAAAAGGATCCTTTAACTGGCATCTCTGCTTACTACTGAAACACAAATAATAACTAGTAGCCACAAGATTTGCCGTTTTTCACGGAATGTAACATACTCCTGGCATGAACCCTGTAATTATCATGAATTTCCATATTTGTCTCTTTAGGAGAAAGGGGAGACTGTGTAACTGGAAAAGCGCAGCAGAGAAAGCATCATGTGATACACACTAGTAATGACGGGGAAGCAAGTCCATAGGAAAAGCCGCCCATGGAATGTGACATCTTAACGCTGGCATGTGGTTGATGTGTTACTGTTGTGATGGAGATCGGGAATTCGTAGAGGTTTAGTGACTCTTGGAGATGGTTACATCAGTAAAACCACGCTTGGATTCCGGGGACTTCTTCCTTCATTTCTAAAAGGCGCCCTTGTTCGCAAGCTCATTGTTTTAGCAACCAGCCTGACGGCCCAACAGTAAGGCCTCTTTTTATTTCGCTGAGTGGGCCACGAAGCTCAACAGCAAAAAGCAGGCCGCGAGGCAGCAAGCTTTCTTTCCCGCGATTTCAAGCGAGAGATTATTGAAAAGCAGAATGAGCAGGGAAGCTTTGCGCTAGATCAGGTGTGGCGGTTGGGAACGGATAAACCCTAGAGGGGGATCCGCCCCTCAGGGGCGGATCCCCCTCTAGGGTTTATCCGTTCCCAACTCAGGTTAATCCCCCTCAGGTTTATCCCCCCACCCCGGCCCTGCAGTGCCCGCCCTGCCCCGCTCGGGGGCGCTCCGCTCGGGGGCTCAACGGCCGCGCGTCGGGCCGTGTCCCCTCTCCGCTCCCTCTTCCCCCCCCCTCCCCCTCGCGCCTTCCCCTGGGCGCTTGTTCTGATTGGCGGGCGCTCACCGAGCGCCGCTCGCTCATTGGCGGGCCGGGGCTGCCGTTGCGGTTTGAAATCGCGCGGCGGGTGCGGTGGTGGAGGAGGAGGAAGGGGGGGGAGGCGGTGGCCCGAGCGCTCGCGCCGCCTCATCCCAGCGCCCCGAGGGTCTCCCGGGATCCGCCGGCAGGTACGGCGAGGGGCTGGCTCGGGGGCCCCTCTGTGTGTTTGAGAAGCTGGGGGGGGTGGTGGCTGGGACGAGTGTGTTTTGGGGGGCTGGGAGACTCCCTTCTGTGAGTTTGGGGGGTCTAGGGGCGGGCCC